TAAATCTCTTAAGTACTGGATTACTGCATGTGGAGACTCTTTGCTGTTAGTAATTTTCTTTTTCTCTCATTTCTGAACTACCAAAAATACTTGCTAATGAGTAAGAAATAAAACTTTGGATTTGTTTATTGTATAATTACTTAAATGGTAATAGGACCAAGTGAATTATAAACCTTTAATTGGCATTTGGTTTCCTTCTCATGCTGCCCAGCACAATGTGATCAGGTATTAAGGCATGGCAATGCTGAATAAAATGCATTTCATCCTGGATTGGTCTGCTAATCTGCCTTACAAATACTGTACCAGACAACAAAAAGCCTTTAAGTTGTTATATCCAGTATCATGAATGAAATTTTCTAAAGCCTTAACATAACTCACTGCAACACAGAGCAATGAAAATGTAAATTTTTTGGGGAAGGTGGTGTTGGTGGGCCTAGGGTATCTGGGAACACAAAACTTGTTACCATCAAAACAGTAGAGATGTGTGCCTTACTTTTTTTGGGGGGGGTAGGCTATATAAAATGCCGGTAGTGGCGATATTAGTTTTAGGGCTGGAGGGCACATTGTTGTGATACAAGTACTGTATTGGATACATTTAGGACTTGTGGTTGTATTGAGAGGGCACCAGCCATTAATGTTGAGGATCTTGGGTTTTCAACCTGCAGACTTACTGTGCATGGTAATTGTGATCAGTCCTCCATTAATATTTAGTTTTCCAAACAAGAGACATGTAATTGATTGTACTGATTTACTGTAAATAGGATAACATTTGCTATATTTGTTAGTGCTGGCTTTTTTATGTTTAAGAAATTGCCATACTTACATCAAGGTATCTTCTTTTATTAAAATAAATAAAATTTGAAGTTTAATTTCATGGCATATTCATGGTGTTAGAGCAGTATTGCAAAATTTTAGGACTGGTCTACCTTGGGAGTTGTGGTATGCTGACAACATAGTTTTGATAGCAGATAATATTGAAGATGTAGTGCAGAAATTTAAGATATGGAAGGATGTAATGCAGTCAAAGGGTATGAGAGGGAATGTGGCACAAAATAATGATTTGTGTTGTCTGTAAAAGACTTGTGGTTGAAAGTGGAAAAATGACCATTTGTTGTCTGTAAGATGGGTGTTAACAGTATTTCAGTACTGTGCAATGAGTATGGAAAGTGGGTACACAAGACTTACAGTGGTCTTAATGGCAGAATGTAGGATGTTGCTGACTTTGAGTGTGCTGTATGTGCAGGTAATCATGTGACCCGATTAACTCGATAACTGTGGTAGAGTGATTCGCCGATCAACCCCCCTCAGTGGGCAAACAAACAGGTACCGGTATATCGATTTTCCCTGAACATCATTTTAACTCTTGTGGATTAAAATATATCATGTAGAAAAATGTGGAAACCAAATAAGAGTCCATTACTTCCCTTAGTTTGGTTGTGGTGAATGTGTGAAGTCATTTGGTTTGGGGCTTGTGCCAGGCCATGCCACGAGTGGGGGCATGATATGTGAGGGTGAGGGAGGGAGACACGGCAACCACTGGCATGGAATCGTGATCAGAAATTAGGAAGAAGTACTTATTTACCATATTTCATTATTTTCTGAATGAGCAAAATTTATTATGGAAAATAGCCTTATTCTATTCACTTATGGAATTAGTTATGAATGCAGATTGAGTGAGAAAATCACATATTCACTCCCACATATTGTTGGGGTTCGTAACAATACTATTTAAACTATTTACAACATACCACAGAGCATTCAGTAGTTCTTTACGGAGTGGTAATCCCTATAACGGGCGAGGACGCACGTCTTGACTTCGTGACCAAGATATGACCGTGTCATCAGCGGTGTTGGTGGGATGATAACCCAGTGGGACAACTGGCGAGTGTAAACATAACATACTTCACCCTGCGAGATATGAAATATTTCACGCGCTGCTTTCAAAACACTCTGAATTCCAGAATATATGTCACTGTTCCTCTGTTTATCATTCAAGATTGTATGTTGCAGTTATCGGGTTAAGGTTGGGAAAGCTCTGCATGGGGACATATCCCTAGACTGTGTCGATGAGTTGTCTTGATCATTACTGGAGATGGTGTCAATGCTAGCTTAGCTGCAAGAGTCAGAAGTTGCCAAAAGAAGCTTTGGGAGCTATTGCCTTTATTGACCATACAAGCACCTTTTCTTCTCTTGAAAGTAAAAATGTACAGGTTTGTAGCCAGCATGAGCAGTGTGTTATTGTATGACAGGTAAACCATTCACTGTGGCTGGTCTGATTTTTAATTAAACCCTCAGTATGACAACTTTTGACACATACGGTAAGTCCTCACTTAACGTCGTCCCGCTTAACGTTGTTTCGGTACTACGTCGCTGAACTTTAGAGACCAAAAATTTTTTTAACGTCCCGGTGATCCAATACAACGACATTTTGAGTCGTCACGGACTACTTTCTACTGCGCATCATCCGCTCTCGTCTGGTCGCGCTACGCTCTATCAGCTCGGCACGCTGCCCTCACTCGCGGAACATCACAGCGTCCTCAAGCAACAACGCCAAGCTCGTCTCTGTTACGACTTATCATTCGTGCGCGCTTAAGTAATTTTGCTCTAAAACTGTACTCTAGCCATTCGAAATGGCTTCCAAGCACTCATCAAGACCATTACCCTTGCTACGAAAATGGATGTATTAACCTGATTTGAAAAAGGGGAACGTGCCGTGGACATAGCCTCTGTGCTTGGCCTAACCCCCACAACGGTGAGTACTATCTGGACCAACACTGACAAGATTAAGGATAGTGCTGGAAGTGGTTCTTTTCTGAGTGCTACTAAGATGACTCGTATTAGAAGCACTGTGACAGAGAAGGTGGAAAAGATGCTGGCAATGTGGATGGAGGACCAGAATCAACGCAATGCCCCTGTGAGCCTTATGGTTATCCAGCATAAGGCCAGATCCCTGTTTGACGACTTAAAGGCAGAAGAGGGTGAAGGATCGAAGGAAGAGACCTTTACGGCCAGCCAAGGATGGTTTCAACGATTTAAGCATTGTTATAATTTCCACAATATTAAGATGACTGGTGAAGCTGCCAGTTCAGATACGGTTGTTGCCGAGACATTCCCACCAGAATTCAAACGGATTATCCAGCAAGGAGGCTACTCACCGAAGCAAGTCTTCAATGTGGATGAGACTGGTCTCTTTTGGAAGAGGATGTCTGAGAGGACCTATATCTCCAAAGAGGAGAAAAGAGCGCCAGGTTCTAAAGCAGCAAAAGACCGCTTGACGCTGCTGCTTGGGGTGAACGCTGCCGGCGACTTCAAGCTGAAGCCTATGCTGATTTCTTGCGCTGCCAACCCACGGGCTCTGAAAGGTTACTCTAAGGATTACCTTCCTGTCATTTACAAGGCATGGATAATCGGCGCCACACTGAGCCACTGGTTAAACGTGTACGCTGTCCCTGCAATGAAGGAAAACTATGCCAAGGAGAACCTTAACTTCAAAATTCTTCTGTTCCCTGACAATGCTCCAGCTCATCCTCCCAATCTCGATGACTTGCATGACAGTGCGAAAGTTGTGTTTCTGCCTCCCAACACGACAGCACTGCTGCAGCCTATGGACCAAGGTGTCATCGCTGCATTCAAGGCGTATTATATCTGTACCATGGCCCAGCTGCTCAAGGCTACAGACGGAGAAAATAAACCAATGATCCGAGAATATTGGCGGGGCTTCAACATTCTTCATGCAATTGACAACATTGGCAAGGCATGGGAAGAGGTTTCAGAAAGTTGCCTGAATGGTGTGTGACGTAAACTGTGGCCCGAGTGCATCAACAGTTTTACGGGATTCACGGACTTAGTCCCAGCCTTGAATAGGGATATCCTCAGCTTGGCTAGACAGGCAGGCTTTGATGAGCTGGAATCAAGAGGATATTGAGGACGTCCTGGCATCCCATACAGAAGAGTTCACCAATGAAGATCTGCAACAATTAACAGAACACAGTCCAGTTGAAGACGACGACAACGAAGAAGAGCCTCAATGAACGCTAACTTCAAAGAGGTTGGCAGAATCGTTGAACATGTTCCAGCAAGCAATGCAAATGCTTCTAGATGACGACCCAAATAGAGAACGTAGCTCAAAGGTTCAACACAACATTGAGGACAGTCTTGGTTGCTACACCGAGATCAATAAGGAGAAGAAGATGAGTAGCACCAATCAGTCAACACTGGATTAATTTTTTCGTTGCGGGACGGCAGGAGCTTCTTCACAACAGCCGGCAGCTGAGGAGGAGCAAACAACAACGGAGGAGGAGCAACCAGCAACCAGTCAGAGCAGGAGGAGGAGGAGGAGGCAGCCGCAGAGTCTCAGTGACTCACCGCCCTCCTCTCCCCCCCTCCTCCTCTCCCGTCATCCTCCTCCTTCACTGCACTACCCACCACACACTCGCTCTACCACCTCCGCCAATCGGTGAGCTACAATACAAACTTAGTACTGTGGTTCTATATACAGGTGCTCCCGACTTACGACGGGGTTAGGGACCCAAATCCAGGTCGTAAGTCCGACATAGATTAAAAAAAAAAAAAAAAAAAAAAAAAAAAAAAAAAAAAAAAAAAAAAAAAAAAAATCTACAATGAAATACAGTACAATAAAAGTAATAAATAATGAGGAATGTATACAGTGTGACTGAGCACTTACCTTTAATGTAGTCAGCTGAATGCATACAGGGCCCCCATAATTTTCTATTTACAGGTATACATGGAGACTATATTAATTGGATGAAGCAGAGGAGGAGACAGGGCTGGGTGGGTCATCAATGTCGCTTTCTTCAGACAGGTTTATGTACTGTGGAAACTTGCTGGTTGAAGGTATTGGATCATCTTAAGGGAGTGAAGAGGCAGCACTGGGGGACTTTTTAAAATAGATGTCCAATTTAGACCACAGTTTGTTTTTCTTTTCATTATAAATTTCTCTGTAGCAAGCAA